AAGGGGTGGATACTGTGGGGAGGCATTTTTTCCTGGGTCTCTAGAATTTCCACATATCTTCTGAGCAGAAGCACTGGCTGCCTGTGCTCTGGGCTACCGGTCCAAGGATGTTTGTATGATAAGCAGCCTTGACAGGTATAGAATCTCAATACGGGGGAGCGGGGGAGGGCAGGTTTGCTTACAGAGTTCGAAGGTAGGGATAGTGTTTTCCACCAGGGCAAAGGTCAGGCAAGCTTACTATTCACTACTCAAAATTTGAGCTTCCTAACCTCAGGGCTCTTCACCTGTCCTCCTCATGTTTTCTGTGGGAACTGAGATTTGAGGAGCGGGTGAAGGTGCTGATACCTTGACCACTGCTATTGCTGTCAGTGCCAAGCCGTCCTGTCCCTAATCCAGGAGTCTCATGCCTCCTACTGTACCCACGAAATGACGGCAGGCTAGCGTGTTAGCTTGTAAGCAGGGTGCAATCTCAGACTTGCTAGTGCTTCATAAGTGTATTTTGAAAATAAGTCAGATGACTGCCTTTCCCATGGGTTCACCTGATACCCTAAATACCTTTTCCCCAGAAATCTCTGCTGGAAGGACCTGCAGCACGACCATTGTCTCAGGAGCCACACATCCAGAACAGTCAGGCCACATCCCTGTACGGGGTGCAGGACGCAGTGTGGAATGCAGTACCTGTCATCAGGAAACAGGGTGCCAGTTAACATATCACACCTCTGACCTGTCATTCCCAGACTCTGCCTGGATTTAGAGCCACTTCTGTGGTGGGACAGACTTTTTAACTCCTCCCGGGTCAATGACCTCATTCTTTTTTTTTTTTTTTTTTTGAGATGGAGTCTTGCTCTGCCGCCCAGCCTGGAGTGCAGTGGCGACATCTCTGCTCACTGCAACCTCTGCCTGCCAGGTTCAAGCGATTCTCCTGCCTCAGCCTCCTGAGTAGCTGGGATGACAGGTGCACACCACCACGCCCGGCTAATTTTTATGTTTTGAATAGAGATGACGTTTCACCATGTTGGCCAGGCCGGTTTTGAACTTCTGATTTCTGGTGATCCATCAGCCTCGGCCTCCCAAACTGCTGGGATTACAGGCGTGAGCCACCGCGCCCGGCCGAGGATCAGGCCCATGACCAGGTGTGGCTCAGCCACGACGTCTCCTGATAGAGTTCGTGCTTGTTTCACAGAAATTCAGATCTGGACAAACCCTCAAGTCCGCTCTCCATCTCAGAAGGGAAACTCGGAAAGAAAGGTCTGTCCTGACATCTCACAGCAAATGGAGAGCAGTCCTTATGCCCATCATTCTCCTTGGCATCGCGGGGTCCCGCTGACTGCGCAGCACCTGCCGCCGACCCGCTTGCGGCCACCGGGAGGCGCCGGAGGGAGGCCCAGCCAGGGCGCTTCTCACCTCCGTCTCAGGCGGCGCCTCGCTGGGTTTCAGCGCCGCGCGCACGGCCTCCCTCCGCAGGCCCGGAGCTTGGCGAGTGTACCTCTCCGTGCGGCTGCGTTTCCCACCAGGCGGCTCTGCTTCGTCCCTGCGGTGCCAGGGATTTGAGCAGCAACTTGGTGCTGAGGAGCCCTGGGTTGCCTGCGGGTCCCTGTTTGGTGTCTCAGTACCTTAGTAACCAGATCCATGCCACAGCGACTCTGCCGCCAGGCCTCTTCCCCTCCTCCTCCCTTCCTTCTCTCTTCCCCCTCTTTCTTCGTCTGCTCCCCTCCTCTTCTTCCTCTTTCTCCTCCTCCATTTCCCTCTTCCTCCTCTTCCCCCCCTCATCATCCTCCTCCCCTTCCCCCCTCCTCCTCCCCCTCCTCTTCCCTCCCTCATCCTCCTCCTTCTCTTTACCCTCCTCCTCCTCCCCGCCTCTTCCCTCGCTCATCCTCCTCCTCTTCCTCCT